AAATCCAGGTGTGAAAAACTTGTTGCATCATTCCCAAGAAGACTCATGGCTGTACTAGCTCAAAAGGGTGCTTCTACTCAATACTGAGCAAAGGGTCTGAATACTTATGACCATGTGATATTTCAGTTTTTCTTTTTTAATAAATTTGCAAAAATTTCTACATTTCTGTTTTTTTCTGTCAAGATGGGGTGCTGAGTGTACATTATTGAGAAATAAAATGAACTTTTTTGATTTTAGCAAATGGCTGCAATGAAACAATGAGTGAAAAATTTAAAGGGGTCTGAATACTTTCCGTACCCACTGTATATAAACATCATCACTGGTGTCAGTGTCGGATGATAAAAGAGCATCGAAGACGTCTGTGACTGATGGAGACTGATTATCCTGCAGTTTAAGCAAAGCGTCAGTCAAGATGCAGAGATGGAAACGATAATCTGCACTAAAGTGCACACCAGATGCTCGTTAAAGAAACCAAACATGTACAGTAAGAGGGCTGTGAAATAACATCACCCATCGTCACAGAGTACATTTTTTCATTTCCCAAATGATATGGAAGATATTTTTCCTCATAATCACTTCTTCTTGAATTGCAGAAGTTTATTGTTCCCAAGAGTTTCATTATATTTAGAATATTCAGAACATAATTTAAAACCAGCCTAACCCACAGCAGTGTGTCTTGAGAATATGCTGATTTTGTGCAGGAGACGTGTGTCTTTTGTGCCGACGTCTGTGTTTGTATGCGTGTGCTTTCATCTCGCGGGCATTTGCAGTTTGCCTCCAAAAGGTGCTTTTCATTTTCTTCCCCTCATGTCACATTCCAGCTGCCTTGATTGCTACAAGCAGGTTGGCAAATATTTACTCTAATTTCATAAAGATTTTTTCCCCCCCCCATCCTAAATCCAGCCAAGCTGGGTCTCGACCCTTTTGTCTGCCAATCTTCTTGACAGTGGCGTTCGAATAAAATCCATTCAAGAAAACACGATTTTAAGAAGTTGGTCATCTTATTTCCCCATTGAATTAAATATCTACAGTCATAAAGACATCAAACATGTCATCTTCTGTGCAACTCTTTACTGTTAACAGATGCACTGTAACGTTCTGGGTAGGTTTGCATTATGTAGCTGCAGCAACATAGATATGAATCACAAATGTATGCAACATCTCCTGATCTCCTCATTCAGTGTTCAATCATTCATTTCACTGTTTAAATTTAGTTAAACTATGAAACAATCTTATATTGTTGTGAATTATGTACCATGTACAGAACACATCTGTACATGGTACATCAGGAGAATTCGTTTTAAAACATTGAAACCAAGCAATCAGATAGAAAGTTATATATCCGTAGTTTTTATGGCTTTCTCTTGTGTCCTTAATGCTCATTGCCCAGCGTATTTACTGTATACTGTTACAGGACATTGCCGTTTCCATATTACCCTCTTTAAAAGCCAAGAGATAAACTCAGACATGTGTTTTTAATCATCTCAGTCTCTCTTATTTCCTGCTCACTGCTCTGTATGTTGGCCATTACACATGTCATGATAGAGGACCGCGGGGAGACCCCATTCCTGCCCTCAGCTCTTAGTTCAGCTCAGTTCTTATAGTGCTTGCATTACCAAAAGACATAAGGGAGAATTGCATTTTATTTGTTAGTCATTTGTGATTTGGGGATTTACCTCCGCTGTCCCCTTTTTAACTGTGTTCTGAAACAGCCTTGCGGGTAATTTACAGTTAAACCCACATTCTAGCTGAGGTACTTGGAAAGATCCAATATAGGAATTCCTTACGGCCAAGTACTTTGTTAACTCGCATGTAGAGCTCTCGCATGCAAAAGGACTCCAATTTATGTCAAGTAGTTACAGGACGCTGTCGGTAGGAAACAGTGCAGTGCATTTCTGAAGGCTTGAGGACAGGGAGGGGATTACCGCAAGGTTGTTTTGCATAGAATCGTTGTCAAAGCTGTTTTTAAGTTATTGCATTTCGAAGGTCAAGGACTACATTTAACTCAGTTTTTTTTTTTTCATCTCAGACAGTCATTTAATAACACAGAGTTTAAAACTGACTCCACGCTGCTCTCTGTCCTGTAGGTGTGGTGAGGCAGTTGAGAAGAATAAGCACCTGATCACATTTGACCAGAAAGAGTACCAGCAGGAGCTGAAGAAGAACTACAACCGGCTGAGAGAGAACCTGAGGCCTATGCTGGAGAGGAAGATACCCGAGCTCTATAAACCCATCATCAGGCCTCGGCTGGAGAACAGGTAAACACAACCCAGCAGGTCAAACAGACGAGACTGTTTTGACAAGAGACAGCGATGGGAAAGGAAAAACAAACCCATATCATTTATCTTTTTCATCACTGTGTGTGATTGCTGAACCCAAAGACAAGTGAGAACAAATGGAACTGAGCAGAGATCCATTCACAGCGACCGGGTCGCCTCTACAAGTATTGATGGCTGAACCGGAGCCACAGTACACAGATTGAGTGCTGAACCGAGGCCACGGCCACAGTGTACCCTTGAATTAGAAAGGACTGATTGCTCACTAAGTGCTTTTATGATCGACCGTGGTAATCTTGATAAATCTTGCAGTGTGTTGCCATGCTGAGGGATGAGCATGTGCTTCTAAGGGGTACTTATCCCCCAAATTTAGATTTTTCCATCAATTACTCAGGAATGTGAAGAGAGCTTCCAAAATCAGTTGCTTCAGTATTCTTGATCACATAACTGTGGATGAGGAGTGATATTAACACCAACTAATTTATATGAAAATGTTAATAAAATAAAAAATATATATCCCCGTTGATATTGGATTTTTTAGTTTATTGCCAATATTGAGTATTTAGAGTTAAATGGATCTGATATTTATACACATGGCTGTATAGTATATCAACTCATATTGCTACACACACACAGAGAGTACCGGCCAATATAATGGCCCGCATTGATACAAAAATTCCTATTTTTGTGCCGTGCTCATGGAAACATTTACCGTACATCTCTACTGCTACACCTACCTGCCCTGACCTTTCGTCCTCTTCCTCATCCTCCTCATCATCTTGAGTTTTCCACGTCTTCCCTCATGTACTTGTCCTCTCTGTCTCACAGGGATTCCTTCAAACGTCTAAGTTTCCGCAGAGCTCAGGAGGAAAACTCCTGAGATGCCACGACTCATCTGAGAGAGAGCGAGAGAGAGCGCTACAGAGAGGAAGTGGAGGCCGTCACACAACTGAGAGAGGAGACAAGATGAAACGAGGAAAGGAACTGCTGGTGACACCCTTTTGCAATCCTCTGCGCTGGAGACGCACATTGTGTCCACAATGGAGGACTCGGTTTCTCAACAGTCCAGCAGTGCTTATTAATGTCTGCTGCACGTCCACTTTTATGATTTCACTGTTTGTTACAGGAGGCAAAAGGTGAGTGAGCACATACAAATATGGAGGTGGGAATCTCAAGCAAAGTGTAGCTGTTTGAGCATTTCACTGTAAAATCTTCAGATGCTTTGACTCTGTTGATTTCTTTTTTTCTTTTTTTTTTCTTTTTTCTTTTTTTTTTTTTTTTTTAAGATAACTGCAAGTCCTAATAATGCTGCAAACATTTCCTCTGGGTTGATACAGAGGCAGACTAGAGTTCCTCTCTGAGGCCCTTGCTGGCCCAGGGCCTGTGTGTGTGTGTGTGTGTGTGTGTGTGTGTGTGTGTGTGTGTGTGTGTGTGTGTGTGTGCGCGCCAATAATGCTTGTGTCCTGTGTGTATGTGTGTAAATGGATGTGTGTTTATTTAGATCATGTTTGGAGTCGATGATTTTGGTGCCATACTGAAGTCACTTTGTACTCGGTGATGATAAATGATTCTGTTTTGTGCTAAAAGGTATCTGAAATTCCACTGGGCGTCTATGCATGAAATGTGCCAGTTAGAGCAGCAAGAGTATTGATGGACTTGTGCACTGGAAAAATGGACACAATTTCCTGCGTTAGCTCTTAAGGCCATTCTTTTCTTAATGCTGTTGAACACACAGTACCTGACCATGTAGCTAATGGAAGAGTTTAACTTATTGATGTAATTACACAGGAGATAGATAGACTTACTGTATCGGAGGCTCTAAATCACACAAGGCTTATTTCTAAATACTCATTTTGTACATAGTAGTAATACATCAGATAGTTACAAAGATGTTTACAAAGGTATGGAAAAACTATTTTGCATTTTATGTAAATGTATTTTTTAGATAAATAATAGCAATAATGATATGAATTGGAAATGTTATTCAGCAGGCAGGATTCAGAGTGTACTGTAACGATCTCAATGTATGTTCCAGTAGTTTCAGTACCTGTAAATAGTCCACTTCCTACGATACAGAGTGCCAAATTGAATTCCTCTTTACTTACCGAAGAACAGAGATACTAGAAATGCAACATTTTTGAAAAGTCACTCCACACAGCTGAGCTTTGCAGTGCGCATTATGTTTACTCATTCCAGAGGAGAAATGTACTTCTGCTTTGCAGTATTGAATAGTGGCAACCTGATTTCCTTTGACATCCATGAACAGCTGATTCAGTAATGTAAATGTACTTACCATTTCAAAAGTGTGTATATACTTTTACATACATTAATACTCATTTGAATATTTTTCGCTCTGTCGGTACATCTGTTATTTATGAGCTGTTGAATGTTTTTAAATGGCTAAATAAGTGTATTAAATATTAACTCAAATGTATACCTATTTTTGAAACATGCAGTACATTGCTGAAAGTTGGTGTTATAAAATACATTGGTGGCATTCAATCTCTGGAGATTGCATCTGTTTCTTTATCAGTTATTTGTATGTTTATACCTGTTTTAATAAATGTGGAATTATTACTTGTCATGCATTCTGTGCTATTGAAGAATTCAAATAAAACTTAATATATGCACATTTGTCATTAAGTTGACTAAGTGACTCTTCAAAAACGAGTTCTTTCAAGTAATGGCCTTTAAAAAAATGTTATCAATATTACAGAGCTATATCACTTGCTTGCTGGCAATTGATAAACTGACGCAACATTCGCAGAATAAATTTCCAAGTTATCAATATTATTTTAATTCAACTATATCCATTTTACTGGTGATTTTTTTTTAGTAGGCTACTGTACTAATTACTGAGTTTAAAAGGCGGGAAGAACTCGAGGGGATGAAATACAAAAACTACAAGCTTCGGCTGTCGCGTCGATGCGACGTCATCACTGCGCGACGTCTACAGGACAGGACACAGGTTTGTCGTAGATTTCGTTAACATCAACAAGCGAGTGCTTATGAGTCCTCAGCGTTATATCGACAGTTGTTTTGAGACGCATTGCTTAAACCACCGTGAGCTACGGTGGAGCTGGTGATTATTGGCGGCACCGCTGCTGTAGTCGTGAACCTTGAGTTGTGAATGACGGAGAGCAGACTTGTGATGCCAAGTTAGTTCGAACTCTCTCGAGCCGTACCGTCAGTCGGCTTCACTCCACCGAAAAGTTTAAAAACTTTAATTCATGACGACTCATCTATTGTGAGTCACAACGTGTTTCTGTGCTGTCAGCTCCTCTCAAACAGACTTAAATAGTTGTATACGGACTTCAACATGTCTGTGTATAACGTTACACGTGTCAATCATCACAGAACTTTTGCTCTGCAGCCTGTAAATTAAAAACAAAGATGAAGGCTAGCCCTTGATGAGGGGAACAGTAACGTTTCGTTGTATCTGGTTTGACTTTAATGTGCATGAAAGGTAATTCTCATCTGTTTTGCCTGCAAGGACACTTGCCACAGTTATCTTTTTCACAAAGTTAAAAGCCTGTTTCTATTCAATATCCATCTTTACTCCACTTAGCTCATAGCGACCCATTTAAACACTCTTGGAGTCACTTCTTGTCATTCCATTCTATAGTAACAGTATTCACATATGCAGTGAACATACTCACCGGTCTACAAGTGAGGTGTTACTATATAATCACAATAAAACAGACAGGTCATATAAGTCATTTTAGCCAACCTCTTACAGTAATGACAGATGGTATTACTTTTGTTGGCTTCGTCTCGTAGCTGTAGATATTATCCTCTTGTTTTTTATGTACTCGTAATTTTATGAGTTTACTCCTGCACTGAATAACCTCTGAGGATTTCCTGCTGTAAATGGTAATTGCAACTCTGTCTTGCCAAGCCTGCTTCATGCCTCAAGCAGCCTAAATGGAAGGATTGTGACTGTAAAAATTTTGATGTACAGCAGGAGAGCTTTAATATAGGTTTAGCTCTTCCTGGTGCCGGGGCTACGGTGTCCTGCTAGTAAAGTAACTTACTTATACGTCCGCTTCATTAACACGGATCAAAATGCGATCATGAAACGGTTTTCCTGTCTGGAAACATTTGTGGAATGTGTGAACAGATTGAGTTTGGCATTCAAGTTTGAGTTGAGCATACAGACCCTGACAGTTTTGGCTTCATCGCAGTACACTGGCAGAACATTCACAAGCTAAAGTAAGCACCTCCGCCCACAGGAAGCTATAGAATGTCAACTAAAAGTGTTGACCGTAACTTACACAAACACACACTTTTTCCCGTTACCCTATGAAGGATAAACGGTTTGTAATGTGGAAACGAAAAACATAATTAAAATAAAGCTTTATTTTTGGTCTTTCCTCTTAGGTTGAACCATCCTCTGCTCAACTTTGACGCCATTTGTGTGACATGGAGCCAGACGAGGACCTAGACCCCCACACGGATGACCTTCCACTCCGAGCCAATACTAACCACATACTTGTCAGACACTACGTGCTGGACCTGACTGTTCATTTCGACAGGAAGGTCATCAGTGGTAGTGTCGTTCTGTTCCTGGAGCCCTGCTCTGGATCGGGGACTACGGCTGAGGAGGATGCTGGAGCTGGGACCAAAGAGGCCGGAGTGAGTCAGGGTGCGTTTGTGTGTAGATTTCGCGGTGTGGATGAGGCGGAGGATGGTACAAAAGGACTTGGAGAGAGTCCGACAAGGAAGGAGAAGAAGTTTGGCGCTAGAGAAAGAGATGCACCTGAATCTCAGGCTCTGCCTGGCAGTGGTTCGCCACAGACTGCAGCTGAAACCGAAAACATTCAGTCTTCACATTCGTGGGAAACCACCAGTGACGGTGATTTCACCTTATCGCTGGACTGCTGTGACCTCGACGTGACGAAGGTGGAAGAGGTGGACGTCACCCCCGTGTCAGCCACGTCTGGCCTCCAGCCAGAGGTTGCATCCGAGTGGTCAGGTGTCAGTTCAGTGAACCCTCAAGCCGCCTTTATTCAGAACCTTATCTCCATGCCCTCTAGCCGATGGAGGCAGAAGCTGCAGCTCTACTTGCTGTGTAGCCGTGCCCTCGGCGCTCAGGACGGCGGCTCGCTGCATTTTCGTAGAGACCGATGGAGTTTGCAGGTGAGGAAGAAGGGGGTCCCGTCACCTCAGGAGTTCCCCCGTGCTCTCAGGATCTGCTATGAGACGAGGCCAGCGGGAGGCTCTGTGAGGTGGACCAAAGACCAGGACAACAGGTGTGTCTCGAGATGCAAATCATTGAAGCCATTAGACTCCCTCTTAAATGCTTTAAAACTGGTGGCACATCTGCTCTGATGTCAGAGTAATATTGTGAGCTTGACATGTTAGAATAGATTAGAGACACGCTTCAGGCTGTTATATTCTGTGAGTGTGTGTGTGTGTTGGTGGATCCTATGAGAATTGTAAGAGGGTTGTTTATAGTTTACCTTTGTTTACCCTTCCAGGGTGTGTGTTTACACTGCCGGTTCTCCCATCAACAACAGAGCACTCTTCCCCTGCCAGGAGCCGCCTGTTGCCATGTCAACGTGGCAGGCAACAGTACGGGCCCCCAGTGAGTGTGTGGTTCTGACGAGCGGGGAGGAGCCCACTGTACCTATTGAGGACGGGGACACATGTAAGATGTTATTTGGCAAACATTTTGTGATCGCCAGGAGGAGTCAAGTCGATTTTATGAATGTAGGCTAAAGTCCCAAATGTGCTTCATTCTGAACAGCATGACACACTCTCTGTGTCTAGACCTTTGATCTGTTACCTGACAATTTGTTCAATAATAAAAGTACACTTTACTGAAATATTTCGTTTTTCTGGCTTATTTTGTTAAATGAAAAAGGGGAAAATATGTCATTTTGTTGTTATTAAAATCTCAATTTAAGTATTGCATTGGCACCGATTAAGAAACATTTCAAAGAAGACTTGTTTTATTTTGAAACGTGTCTACTCTAGTCATGGTCCAGACCTCTGAAACTCCTCAGACATAATTCAAATAGGTATGCTGTGTTGTGCTCATTAGCATCTATTGCAACCAAACAAAAATCTGAGTAAGAATGATGTGTCAACTTCCTGTGTCCGAGTTAGAAAAATAACACTAAAGACTCGCTATAAAGATGGATGCAGGTGTGGATGAGATTACTACAGCTGTACAGGTTGTTGACAACTGATTTACAGAATTAAAAAAAATCCTAAATTGACACATTTCTGTGATTGACATGGAAAACGTTAACTGCGTCTATCGACCAGTACTTCGATCTGTGTCATCTTAAAACTTGTCATGAGGGATATGGATTGCTTAGGTTGAAATAACAAGATGTAAGAATAATAATATCGTGATGATATTAGTGAAGTGAAACAAAATGGCATTTCAATCCAAATGTTTCCTTCCTCTCCATTTCCCCACCTTTTGACATTTCCATCCCGTCTCTCTTATCCTCCTTCTCCTCTCCGCAGGCTCCTTAATCTGGCATTGCTACGTCACCATGCCCATGCCCGCCTCCACCTTCACCTTGGCAGTGGGCCACTGGCGCCAAGTCACAGCGGAAAATCCCCCAGCGTTGGAACGGGGTGCGAGGGACGAGACGGATTGTGACGAGGCGGCTAAACTCTGTGCCGGACCTGGGGAATGGGCCCCGGCTGACCTAATGTCTGGACTTGGGAGCTCCATCAGTGAAGTAGTAAAGGGCCCTCTACTCAAGACTGGCAGGTATTTTATTATTTGTTCTTTATGTGTTCTTTTCTTCCTGTAAGACCTCCTCCTCTCCAGACTGTTATTAACCCAAGTCTGGCCCTTCAACATTCCACGGTGAAACTTTCCTTTCGCCGTACCAAAAAACGGTGCAGGTGGAGTAAGGGTGATGGATTGGTTGCAGGACTCAATCAGCTTTTTTATGACAAGTACATTAAAGCTTGTACTATAGTACTTTGGGTTCAGTGCCCAGCAGACATTATCTTTGGAGACCGAAAGAGGTAAAGCTCACATCAATTGTATGGAGGTAGAGGATATAGAGTGCAGGCTGGCTTGCTGTGGGTAGGGTTGGGCTGGGGTGTCCCTCTCCACTGGCCAGCAGGTTGGCGGGTCTGCCAGTGGTTTCCAGTAATCCCCCCCCCTCCCCTCCCGGTTTTCCTCCAGCAGCAGCCCAGCTGTAGCCTGCTGAAGGCCCCAGGAATCTCCCGCTACAAGGAAGGCCTTTATTTCCAGTGAATGGCTGGAAGGAAACTTGGATGTCGCTCGAAACCTTTGGAACGGTTCTGGTGCTGAGGACGGATTGGATTTAGAGTGGGATTGCATGTTGGCTAGATATTTTTTGGCATCACTTGTGGTTTGCCTTTGTGACGTATGTAGTCCATAGTTCCACTGCTTTCATTTCCATGCTTCTAGCACAGATTGTGCCATATTTGGTTCACCAACTTGAGAACTGTCTACTATTTTAATAAGAAAATGCATTAAATTGTCGTTATTAACCTTGGATTCAACTTTTTACCCCTATTTTAATGTGCCACAGCGGAGACCAGACCGCCCGCTCACACTCTGCATTGCGTTGCTCTTCGCTTGAGGACGAGGGGCCCTTCTCTGTAACTGATTATTCGGGCATGGCGGATGACGGCATCTCTTGTTCCCATGGCGACTACCCTTGCCGATTTACCGAGCAGTCGGCTCGGTCCCAGCGGGTGATTCCCCACCGTGTGTTTGGACCCGTCGGCTTGTTGCAGAAAGCCCAGGTGGAGTTTTGACAAAGAGCCACTGAGGCTAATTATACCTGATATGATTAAAAGAGACAGCTAGCATCAGTTAATGTTGGTGTCATTATGCCAGCGGTTTTCAAACTGCCATCTCTTGGCAGACTGGTAAAAATATGAGACTGTAATCTCATGAGGGCCACTTAAAACATTCCTCACACTCTAAATGAGCATTTCTAGCTAGAATAACTTTAATGTTAAAAGGATTTTGCACGTTCAGTCAGTTCTGAGCTGATGATTCTTGTTAGATGAGTGACAAAAAATGCAGAACAAACTAGGTGCACTTGCCTTTGACTTGATACTAGATCTCCTCTGACCTGGAGCACATAGGACCATCATTGACATACACAATACATACATGTAAGAGCACATGCATGTACCCACAAACTGTTGTATATCCTACCCACCTGTATCAACATACACACATCTGCTTCAGGCAAAAAACTTGCAATTGTATAGTTGTCGGTTGTTTTGAGGAACTTGTTGCCTTCCTCTTGCAGATGGGAGTCCTGAAGCTTCTGCCTCGATGCTTGGCTGCAGCCCACACCGTTCTGGGTGTCCACCCCTTTCCCCGCCTTGATGTTCTCATCGTTCCAGCAGGGTTCTCCAGTCTGGGCATGGCCAGGTAATGACGCCTGGGTCTTTTGGCAGAATGATGTAATGTGTGAACGATGCAAAATGCTGGAAAGAGCAAAGGGTAAGGAAGTGAAGAAGACTGAGAAAAGTAGTTGAATAAAGAATTAGGGGAAAATAATTCAAATTCAGAAAGTAAGAAACTGCAGCAGAAAGCAACCTGTGAACACAACAGTGGAATGATGTAATTTTTAAGTTGATATGGCAAATAATTGCTTTTTTACACATCCAGCCGATTCAAAGCAACATTCAAATTAATTTGGGGTCAAGTGTTTATAGCCACCCTTACTGTAATTCCAATATTCACTCTCCTTTTAGCTCTGTTTTGGTCTCCACCAACTCCAGAGGGAAATCTCTGGCTCATAACTGCTAAATGCTCCAGTGTGTTCACCAGCTAGTTGCTAAGTCAGTCTGTTTTCTGATTGGTGCTTGGGAGTTTGTTGACAGTGGGTTCTGACAGTTTTGTTTTACTGGGACAGCCGCTGGCTGCTTCTGGAAATGATGCGGATGAGAGCTGTGAGAGTGAACCAAAACAGGCTGTAAAACCAAAATAATTAGCTGAAAGGGGCTAAAAGGCTCCGTAGTGGTGAGTTGTAAGGGTGGTAATTATCTACAGGAGTGATACTGCAAGCAACACATTTCACACCACACATAGCCATTTAATCCTTTGTTAATAATATATATAGCAGCTTTAAAGTTCTTCAGTCGCGGAAGAGCATTTTTACTGTATTCTGCTGTCATTTACAGGCCAATGTTTGGACAATCATTTGCGAGTTGTAAGTAAACAGCACATCAAAGATTTGCCACAACAAAGTCAGCACAAAGTCAGCAGTTTGTCAAGTGAAAAGTTTCTGGGTTGCATGATTAATGACATGCTTCACATTCCAAAACCCTCTCGCTCTGCGTCGATCTTCTTCGAGGAGATCTTCCACATTGGAATTCTTCACTGAATTAAAGAGTCCAACTCCCTCCAGACTCTGTTCAGTCACTTGTCATCGCTCCTTTCATCAAAACTGCTTTCAACACTCGTCTGAGCTGCTAGCATGTCCGTGTGTTTCAGTTGGGAGTTTATGACTTATTATTTCTAACAGTAAAATACTTGAGCAGCACTAGGTTGAAGTTAGACAAAATGTAAAAACATAAAGTTGGCAGACAAAGAAATCTTCAGCCTCTACTTAAATCCTTTTTTCCCATAAAATTGTCCGTCTTCTTTTATTTTTTTCGTTTTCATTACTTTTTCTTTTCTCTTGGGGACCCTTAACCCCTTTCCCAGTTCACTACTCCTCCCTTTCCTCATCCCGTTTCCAAAACTTACCACCTCATTCTTCCTTCATCCTTTTTTTTCCATCCCAAACAGCTCTCTTCTCTAAACCCTGCTCTCATTTGTTTTCACATTTCAGCCATGAAGTTGACACTCTCAGTACAATTTTCATCACCTCCTCCAAACATAACATGGTTCTTCCTTCTTCTTTTATTAACTTCTCTCACCCCAAGATCCCAAAACCCTAACCCCAAACCCTGAGCTCTCTTGATGAGATAAACGGTTAACCTTTTGTGTAGGCACAGCTCCATTCACTCAGCGACCCGGTCAATTGTTTGCTGTATTATATCTTTCTTTGTATTTTACCAGCAGAGACTCCAGGTGCTCTGCAGGCCCTCTGCTCCCCACTAAACATGTGTATATTTACGTATGTATGTTGGTGTGCAGTTTAAACAGAGGTCCAGGGGCAGATGGGTGGGTGCAAAGCCACTGAATGACAGATTCATTGTCCTATGCACTAGAGATAATTCTGCTCTATGTACTTCTTTGTTCCCTCTTTAGCTCCCGTCCCCGTCTCCCGTATTTTTTCCCTATTCATCCTCCTTTTATTACCTTACTCTCCCCTCTTTTATTTTGTCCTTAAAATCGGTAATGTCCTGCTTCCGTCACTTCTTCTTCACCCTCCACTGTCTCCCATTTTCCTCTTTTCATCTCCTGACTTTCTGTTTCTCTTTATTTGCCTCCGTCCTCTCCAATCCGATCACTCTCCAGTTTCGCCTCTAGCGTTCTACAATAGTGATAGTTTCCCTGGAAATCAAGTTTTAGATTTCCTCTGCAATATCGTACTTTCAGCTGGCATATGGTATGCCTGTAGATATGACTGAATGCCAGCCGGTAGCCATATGAATGAAGTTAAAATTGAAGCAAAATAAAGACCATCAATGACTGGCCTTTTTTTAAAATTGTGTTGATGGCGTAAACTGATTAGGGTGGTCAGTGAACGTTGTCCCTGTGTCTGCGGTCTGCAACCACAGTCTCCCTTTCTCTCCGTCTGTCTTTTTCCTCTCCCCCGGCGGCCTCCCCGGAGAACAGTGCCCCAGACAGGATATGAGATCATACCTGAATATGTATTCTACAGCCAGGAGGAGTCTCAATCAGAGAGCTTTTGAAGGACCGAGGGCGACAAGAGGGTCGCTGTCTGGACCTAGATCTCAACTTTGCATACTTATATTGACTACTTTACCCAAAGCACAGAGTGCTCTTTGATCTACGGAAAGTCTCTCCCCACATCTTGTGAAAATCTGTCTCCCTGCCATATTTATTTTGAACGGACATCAAGTGCTAATGCTGAGGCTGTTCTGCTGTGGCTGTTGCCTGATGGATGTTTTCTTTCCCTGGTGAGGATAGCTCCCAGGCACTTATCTCTCTTGCCCTGGCTGCTTAGACTCCAGTTAGCTGCAGATGACAGAGAAGAGATTTAGGGCCTTCATTAAGCTTCAGACAGCACCTGCACTGACTCCCTATAAAACCCTGCATGGGTCTCAACCCAGAGTCAACTCACTGCATCCTCCCCTCAGTGCGGGTGGTGCGGTCCTGCATGTCTCCGCACTTAACCACGGGTTTGTGCCATGAGGAGGCGGGGAGGTCAACCGAAATGGAAGCGTAGATTGAGATGGAGATGAGAGAGAGATGAAGAGGGCAAAGGCGGGGTTCACGACAGGCCCGGCGGACCCCCAGGATGTGGGAGAGGATGTGTGAATTATTCCCAGCAACAAAAGCCATTAGCCCCTGGAAGGACTTCAGAGACTGGCGCTATTTAATCTAGAGATTGGGAGGTATGTGGGCCCCAGTGCTTGGGACCAAGCCAAGCGTAGTTTTTGTGCAGTGCCCCAGAAGAAACAGCAGGAGTTGAGGGGCTATAGGACAGGGAGCCGGGGCAAGGAGGCATGAAGCTGTTACAGTGTGATACAGAGAAGGGAGGGCAGAGGCAAAACGGGAGGGTTCCCAGTGGCATGGAGTTTTTATTCTGAGATGCAGAGAGGGAGGGCAGGAAACGGAAAGATCAAGGAGTAAAGTAAGGGCAGGTCTGCATTCAAGGGCTATGCTGTGTACACTTTGCACCTACAGGGCTTTCTTATACACTCACACGCAGGGGCCTAGGCTTACGCAAATGTAGCTTCCAGGGGGTGACGCCAGTCAGCAGTTGATAGGATTTCACATCACCAATTTAAGTTTATTTGATGTAACTATGAGGGCATCCGTCCATTATGTTTTCTCATAATCCCTATGTTCTACTTTGGCTCCAAGAGTTCTTTAGCAGTCCAAGTTATCAACAGATGCACATTAGCCTGCAACAGGCATACTGCATATGCCAAACAATATCTGCTCTTTCTTTTTGTTCGTACACTTTCATATTGTCTTTCTGTTCCTGTGACAAACCAGACTAAGAGAGTGGAATGTAGAAACACTGCTGTGTGTCCTCTGCCCATGCTGCTAGTAAAACCTTAAAGACATCAAGGAGCCGATAAGGGAGAGGAAGAAAAATACAGTGTGGCTAAACACTGATAGAGGAGTGTGGATGAGGGATGAAGAGGTGTCTGAGAACGGAGGAAACAAAACACAGTATGAAAGAGTTGCTGTTCCTTTAATCCCTTAAAGGTGCACTACACCGCGGCGAGCAGCTTAACGGTGAGAACAGTGCAAACTACGGCAAAAATGCTGACAAAGCAAATAGTGTTTACCTGATTGGGAACCGGAGGGTAGGTCGCTCTAGACGGCCTTATCAGCTGTAACCGCCATATGAGCGCACAGCAGAGCGGCAGCTGTGAGCGAGCCCATGGGGCACGCTCACATGCGCTCACGTGCACTAAAAGCATAACGCCACTATATCTTTGATAATCGTTGTTTGCTTTACTTTTCTTTTTTTTTTGGATGTGTAATCTCCACATCACAACTCAACCACGTCATTTGGTTCCGACTGGGAGTGACAGGAAGGGCACAGCATTTCCTCTGGCTCTTTGAGGCCGAGGTCTGTGTGTCCCAAAGCGCTGGCTGGACTTGTAGGACTAATCAGAGATCACTGTGTTTGCAGCGTGCCCAAAATGAAGACATGGCTGACGTCCCCGTGAGAGAGAGAGCTGTGCTTTCCCCACACTTTGTTGTGAAATGTGTTGAAACAGGCCCCTTAAGGAGTGTGGGTGATGTGGGATTTGTTTTTCTTCACCGTAGACAGGCAGATTCCTGTGCTTGTGTTTGTATGAATGCGTGTATTGTTCAAATGAGGGTGTAAGGATGTGTATTTAGAGCAATGGGATGACGTCAGGGGAATGCTTTTTTTTTCCTCTGGTGGGGAAAATTAAGTTAACATGTTTTTGACGTTTGGGTTATCCTTATGTCATAGCTGTGATTGAACCAGTCGGATCAATGCCTAATCCTTTGTTGTTGTTTCTGTTGGGGATTTTTTCGAGGGCCGCCCCACACCACTTAATGGCGGGCTCCGATAAACCCACACACATACATGCTTAAACATATCCATCTGTCAACACGTGTCATTGCACCTTTATTACCAGCTTCCTTTCATTATCTCTGTTTTTTCCCAGCAGAATAACACATTGCACAAACAGGCTTCTTGCAAACATGTTTATTGCCAAAATACTTTTTTATACTTCCTAAACTATACACATAATTTCCCCTGATGTTACATTTCTCATCCTCCTGTTTGTTTTGCGTAA